ATGTCTATGCTTTATCTCCTAGTTTTCTCATGATTGGACCAACGGATCACACAAGCTGTGCTGTTGCAACAAGAAATCAGGTGTATTCTGAAGACTGTAACTCCAACTTTAATGGCATTTGCCAAAGAGACGCTGTCTGAACAACAAAAACAAATCTGTGCATTTAAACAAAGATTTGAAGCAAATGCATATGGATAATAGTGCCTATCTTTTTTTTTTTTTTAGCGGAATGCAAATTTGTTTCCTTTCTATACTATTAGAAAACAAAATTCGACTGAGGAAATTTAAAGATATAATTGGCATTATTCAATGATTCGTGTACTGGGTAGCATCCCACCAAGCAAGTAAAAAAAGAGCTCCAATGAGCTACAGAGAAGGAAAGGCTTTTTAAAGGCAGACGGGGGTGACAGAAGGAAATCGGAAACAATAAAAAGATTATTTGGGGCAAGGTCACCTTTCTTTGGGGTATGAAAATGGGCCATCAGGTGGATCGCCTTATTAGGGTTGACCAGAACATTCTTGACTGACCAGTTAAGATTGTATTCTTGGGGAGATCCAAACTGCAGTTAGATTAGGTATTAAGTTTTGGTTTCATGACAGGTGCTTAGCATGAATGACTCCATTTTGGGCCTGTTGTCTCTATTTTCACAGTACAAACATAAAATTTTCAAATATTCCGTATAGAAGTAATACTTCAAAATAAGGAAATATGACTTATTTTTAAACAAGAAAACACTCTTTCCTATTGTTTCAATGTCTAAAAAGATAATTAAATTTCAACTTGTAATCCTGCCTTATTCGTTGTCTGTGTCCTATTGGGTTTGAAATCCTGAGCATTTGGTGAAGAAATAGCCTAAGCAGACAGATACACTGTTTTTTTTTTCTTCATGGTGGGCCTTTTCCCCAAGGTTGTTTTTCAATTTTTATCAAAAAGAAATCAAACTTTCAACTGGTGATAACGTACTCAGGTGTTGTAAGCATGAGATGTCTATTTGAGGTAATACACAATCTTGTTTTCAACGTGATTCCACAATTTATTTTCCTTTAATCAAATTTATATTAAAATTATTATGCTATGAATGATCCCATTCCGTTTCTTTTCTAACTGAAGTTCTGTGCAAACTGAAGTTTCTTATTTTCCTGTCATTATTTATTTATTTATTAACGTTTATTCATTTTTGAGACAGAGAGAGACAGAGCATGAACGGGGGAGGGTCAGAGAGAGGGAGACACAGAATCCGAAGCAGGCCCCGGGCTCTGAGCTGTCAGCACAGAGCCCGACGCGGGGCTTGAACTCACGGACCGGGAGATCATGACCTGAGCTGAAGTCAGCCGCTTAACCGACTGAGCCACCCAGGCGCCCCTATTTATTTTTAAATTAAAAAAAA